ATGCTGGCCTTCCCGGCCGACACTGGCGCATCCAGGGCAAGGTGCTCCGTGTCGCTGGTGGGCCTCCTGGGGTTGCCGCGGCAGGGCGGGGCGATTCCGACGCTCCCAGACGGCTTGCGATGAGGCGCACGGTGGCGGGGGTCCCGTGAGGTCCCCGGCGTTCCAGGAGACGGCTGGGATCAGTCGAGGTGCTCGGGGTCGCCGTGGCGGATCCGTCGTCGAGGTGTTCACGGGTTCTGCCCTCCGTCGGTGGCGACGAGGGAAAAATTTCCCCCCATACGTGGCAGCGGGGCCGCACCGAAATGATACATTTCTGATGTTCGTCTGCGCCCTCCCTGCAGCCAGCGGGGCCCTTGGGGGAGTGGGTTCCGCGGCGCACAGAGGACATCCGTCAACCTGGGGGTGTCCTCCGAGCTCTTCCATCTCTCCTCCTTCCCTGTCTGCAGGGTCGCACCGAACTGGTGCATATCTGGAATAAGTCTGCCTTCCCTGCGGCCGATGGGGCCCTTGGGGGAGGGTGCCCCGCGGCGCACGGAGTGCATCCGTCAGCCCGGGGGGCTCTTCCTGTTCCTCCCTTCCCCCTTCCTCCCTGGCTGAAGTGTCGCGCCGAACTGGTGCATCAGTCTTCGTCTGCGCCCTCCCTGCAGCCAGCAGCGGGACCCTCGGGGGAGGGGTCCCCGCGGCGCACGGAGGGCATCCGTTGACCTGCGGGGACATACCTGGGGGGGTCCTCCCACTCCCTCCCTCCCAGCCTCCTCCCTGCCGGCGGGGTCGCATCGAACTGGTGCACGTCTGGCAGAGTGGGTGGGCGCCCTCCGTGCAGGCAGCGGGGCCCTCGGGCGACAGGGCTCCGCGCCGCACGGAGGGCGCCCGCCGAGCTGGGGGGGGCTGGGGCGGCGCCCTCGGGGCAGACAGCGCGGCAGCCTGGGTCGAGGGCTCCGCGTCGCACGGAGGGTTTCCAGAGAATCCGTCCGCGTCGCAGGGGGTGCATCCCGGGGTCGCCGTGGCAAGGCGGGGCGATTCGGGCTCTCCCGGATGGCCCTCGTTGAGGCGCACACGGAGAAGGCTGGGATCCGTCGAGGTGCTCGGGGTCACGGTGCTGGAATCCGTCGTGTTGCTGGAGTTCGCGACGCTGCACGGGATCATGCTGCTGGGGTCCGTGCTGGTCGGTCTGGGTCGGTGCTGGTCGGTCTGGCTCGGTGTCGCTTGTGGTGTTGCTGGTCGGTCGCGGTTGGCTGTGCGCGCTGGTGCGAGTTTCTGGTCGGTCTGGGTCGCTGTGGATAGTGGCGGTGCTTGTCGGTCGCAGTTGGTGGTGGGCTGCCGGTCGGTCTGGGTCGACGTTGCTTGTGGCGTTGCTGGCCGATAGCCGTTGGTGGTGGGCGCTGGTAGGAGCTGTTGGTCGGTCTGGGTGGGTGCTGCCTGTGGTGTTGCTGGTCAGTCGCGGGTGGTGGTGGGCGGCTGGTCGGTCTGGGTCGGTGCTGCTTGTGGCATTGCTGGTCGGTCGCAGTTGGTGGTGGGCGCTGGTGGGAGTTGCTGGTCGGTCTGGCTCGGTGCTGCCTGTGGTGTTGCTGGTCGGTCGCGGTTGGCGGTGGGCTACTGGTCGGTCTGGGTCGGTGTGGAATGTGGTGTTTCTGGTCGGTCGCAGTTGGTGGTGGGGAGTGCTGGTCGGTGCTGTTTGGGGCGTTGCGGGTCGGTTGCTGTTGGTGGTGGGCGTTGGTGGGAGTTGCTGTTCGGTCTGGGTTGGTGCTGCCTGTGGTGTTGCTGGTCGGAAACGGTGGTCGGTGGGCTGCTGGTCGGTATAGGTCGGTGTTTCCTGTGGTGCAGCTGGTCGGCCGTGGTTGGGGGTGGGCTGCTGGTCGCTATGGGTCGGTGCTGCTTGTGGTGTTGTTGGGTCTGTGCTGCCCCCTTCCCCCCTCCTCCCCGGTCCTGGGCGGTCACAAGCGGCCTCCCCGCCAGCGCGGCGCTGGCCGCGAGCGCCGCTGCCTGCGCCAGCGCGGGCGCGCTGGTGTTGGTGTCGGTCGTGCTCTTAGCACTGCTGCAGGTGCTGCTGCTGGAGTGTCGGTCGTGCACGTAACACTCGTGGTGCTGTTCTCCCTCGTACGGCTCGCCCACGTTCTGGTCGGAAAGCTGCTGCGGGTGTCGGTCGTGCTCGTAGCTCTCGTGGTGTTGCCTTCCCTCGTACGACTCGCTCACGTGCTGGTCGGAGAGCTGCTGCTGGTGTCGGTCGTGCTCGTAATTCTCGAGGTGCTGCTCTCCCTCGTACGGCTCGCTCACGTGCTGGTCGGAGAGCTGCTGCTGGTGTCGGTCGTGCTCGTAATTCTCGTGGTGCTGCTCTCCCTCGTACGGCTCGCCCATGTGTTGGTCGGAGCGCTATTGCTGGTATCGGTCGTGCTCGTACCTTTCGTTGTGCAGCTCTCCCTCGTACGGCTTGCCCGCGTGCTGGTCGGAAAGCTGCTGCGGGTGTCGGTCGTGTACGTAACACTCGTGGTGCTACTTTCCATCTTGCGATTCGCCCGCGTGCTGGTCGGGAAGCTGCTGCGGGTGGCGGTCGTTCTCGTAGCTCTCGGGATGCTGCTCTCCCTCGTACGGCTCGCCCACGTGCTGGTCGGAAAGCTGCTGCTGGTGTCGGTCGTGCTCGTAACTCTCGTGATGCTGCTCCTCCTTGTACGGCTCGCACCCGTGCTGGTCGGAAAGCTGCTGCATGTGTCGGTCGTGCTCGTAACTCTCTCGGTGCTGCTTTCCTTTATACTGCTCGCCCACGTGCTGGCCGGAAAGCTGCTGCTGGTGTCGGTCGTGCTCTTAACTCTCGTGATGGTGTTCTCCCTCGTACGGCTCGCTCACGTGCTGGTCGGAGAGCTGCTCCTGGTGTCGGTCGTGCTTGTAACTCTCATGGTGCTGCTCTCCTTCGTACGGCTCACTCCCGTGCTGGTCGGAAAGCTGCTGCGGGTGTCGGTCGTGCTCGTAATTCTCGAGGTGCTGCTCTCCCTCGTACGGCTCGCCCACGCGCTGGTCGGAAAGCTGCTGCTGGTGCTGGTAGTGCTCGGTATTCTCGTGATGCTGCTCTCCCTGGTACGGCTCGCCCACGTGCTGGTCTGATGGCTGCTGCTTTGGTTGGTCGTGCTCGTACCTCTCTCGGTGCTGCTCTCTCTCGTACGGCTCGCCCACGTGTTGGCTGGAGAGCTGCTGCTGGTGTCGGTCGTGCTCGTAACACTCGTGGTTGTTCTCTCCCTCGTACGGCTGGCCCGCGTGCTGGTCGGAAAGCAGCTGCTGGTGTCGGTCGTGCTCGTATCTGGCCGAATGCTGGCATCCGTGCTCTCGGCTCTACCGTGGTCCCTGATGTGATGGCGAGGATGCCGTCGCTGGTGCACCCCGCTGTACAGGCGAGGGTGCAGGCAGCGAGGATCCAGGCTGTGCTGACGGGGATGCTGGCGTCGGTGCTCTCGGCAGCGCTGGCGGGGATGCTGGCGTCAGTACTCCTGGCTTCGCTGGGGGAGCTTCTGGCGTCGGCGCCCCATGCCGAGCTGGCGGGGATGCTGACGTCTATGCTCCACGCTGGGCAGGCAAGGAGGTTGGCGTCGGTGCTCTCCGCTCTGCTGCCACGGCGGGGCCGGTGGCGCTGGCCAGCGCCAGGCCAGGCGGCCCGCCCGGCACCGTCACCGCCGCGGCGGCGGCGGCCGCCGCGCGGGAGAGGGCGGCCGCCGCGGCCCACAGGCCAGCGACAGCCGCCGCGGCGGCGGCCTCGGCGGCAGCGCCAGAGGCGCCCGCGGCACACCAGGCGCTAGCAGCGTGCGCGGCGGCACCCGCGCGGCGTGCGGCGCACGCGGCGGCCGCAGCGCGCACAGCGCCGGCGGCAGCAGCAGCGACACCAGCAGCACCAGGGACGCACGCGGCGGCCGCAGCGCTGGCGGCGCCAGCGGCAGCCACGGCACCTGCGGCGCCAGCGGCGACTGCGGTGTCCAAGGCGCAGTGCGGCAGGGCCGCGCCGCCCAGGCCACGCCAGCCAACCTTGAGCCCCGACCCCAGGGGAAGGAACGCTTTGAGCCAGCGGGGGGGGGGGCGGGGGGCGGCGGACACTCTGTAGAAGGGTGTAGCACACAGACACGCGCACACACAACATATATAACATACACACACTGCACATGCATAGCCGTGCATGATGTCGTGCACGTGACATGCATGTATGCTTCATGCGCGCAGGCAGGTGTAGCTCTACTTGTTTACCTAAATATACACAAGACAAGAGAGGTAACTATATATATTTATTTATTTTTATATATATTTACATACACACCATACATACATACATACATACATACATACATACATAAATACATACATACATACATACATACATACATACATACATACATACACACATACATACATACATACATACATACATACGCACATACATACACACATCCATACATCCATACATCCATACATCCATACATCCATCCATCCATACATACATACACACATCCATCCATCCATACACACATACACACATACATACATACATACATGCATGCATACATACATACATACATACATACATACATGCATACACACATACATGCACACATACATACACACATACATACATACATACACAAACATGCATGCATGCATGCATGCATGCATGCATGCATGTACACATACATACATACACACGTGCATACACACAAACATACATGCATACATATATATATATATATATAGATATACATATATATACAAAAGATAGAGATAGAGAGAGAGAGAGAGAGAGAGAGAGAAAGAGAGATAGAGAGAGAGATAGAGAAAGCGAATCATAACGACATAGAGAGACAGAGAAATAGAGAGAGATAGATAGATATAACAACACATATATATATATATATGTATGTACACATCTCAATGTATAGAGGGATACACATACCAGCATATCATATACAGCAGGGACAGGAACACCTCGACGTCTATCGTATTGAGGAATGAGGGCGTCGTTAACAACTAATGCAGGTGCTTGTGAATCCATCTGTTCAAGAACGCCTCGAACGAGATAATTCGGACAGGGCTTCAGGGCAGAATGCGGGGCAAACGTGCTTGTCGCTGTCTGTTGCATGATTCCGGGGGGAAGAAGCAAAGAGAGAGAGAGAGAGAGAGACAGAGAGAGAGAACAAGCAAACCAAGGCCACATGGTTGCGCCTTTCAGGCATTGGCTGCCAGCCGCTCTCCTGTTGCGACGTAGGAACAATCGGCAAGGCGAGGGGGGCGGCCTTGTAAGAAGGCAAAGGGCTTCTTTGAATGGATCGTCCCTGTCCCACAGGATTTTTTTAAGATTCCGGGTGTCATCTCAGATGGCTGCACCCCGCCAAGATCCACAAGAAACCAGCCCCCGGACCATTCCCAGGGCCCATTTGCTTGCAGCCGCGGTCGGGAGGGCGCCCTCAGAGGCCCAAAGAGGGCCAGCATCTGTGCGCGTGGGAGTGAGTTCTCGGCGCTGGCAGAGTCCGCAGGGGCGTGGGCGGGCACCAGCACGAGCCCACAGATCTGGGACCCTGGCGGGGCCCTGGTTCTGGCCAAATCCCCCGTCTCAGGAATGTCCAACCGATCTCCATCCCCAAGGGGCTATGGCATCTCATCCCCACTAGCCCGCCCCCACGCGGAGGCAGGGCCTGCGAAGCACGAAGGAAGCACCACACATCCCCACCCAGGGGTGGCAAGTCGGCCAGTGGTGTCAAGGCCAGGCCAGTGGGGATGGGGATCGGCTGAACGATGCTCCTACTCCTCCTCCTCCTCCTCCTCCTCCTCCTCCTCCTCCTCCTCCTCCTCCTCCTCCTCCTCCCCCTCGTCCTCCTCCTCCTCCTCCTCCTCCTCCTTTCCCCTCCTCCTCCTCCTCCTTCCACTCCTCCTCCTCCTCCTCCTCCTCCTCCTCCTCCTCCTCCTCTGCTCCCGGTCGACGCGCGCCGTCGACCCCGCGCGATGGGCAGGACCTCGTGGCGCGGGCGCGGACCTAGCCGCTGCACAGCCGGCGGGGAGCTGCGGCATCGGCGCCCGGAACGGCAGCCCGCCGCCCGCCGCCGCCGCTGCACGGCGGGCCCGCGGCGACGCCCTCGGCGGGTGCGCGCCGTGCCGACGCGGCAGCGACGCCCCGATCTCGGCAGAGAGGTCTCCAGAGTAAACTCAAGTCGGGCCTGTTTCTCTACAGGAGGAAGATTCAAAAACCGTCAAGGAATAGTCCGGGGACGATGGTTCTCGACTATTCTGCGTTACTCTGGGACATTTTTGGATTCTTCTGTCTACTTCGTCCAGAATCCGCCTGTAGGAGGACACGCCCGACCTAAGAGTACGCTGGGAGGAAGTCAAAATGGGAGGGGGGTAAACGGACTGGTTGCCCCCCGTTGCGGTGAGAAGCAGGCCCACACTGCGACGCGGAAGTGGGGTAGGCGCGAATTAATGTGACGTTGTGCTTGGTGTTTCTCTGCTGTCGCCCTCGCAATCACGCGCCCCTGCGTGGTGCGCTCGTTTGTATTTGATGCATCATCTTTGCTGTCGCTCAGCCCTGCTTGAGCACTGGCTTGAAGCTTTTGATTGCGAGTCCGGCGACTGGCCCGCGACGACGTCGACGACGTGTCGCGCCCGCCCGCACGACCGAACAACTTGCCCACGACGGCACGGCGACGGCGACGGTGATGGCATCGGCGACGGCGACGAAGCCCAGCGCCAGCAAACGACGACGAGGGCGACGACGATGACGACGACGACGAGGGGCTGCACGAAATATACGCTGCAGGTAAGACAGGTACACCCCCGAGGGGGTACGATCGAAGACGAAGAGGGCGGGTATCGAGGGATTGGGATATACGTATTGAATGACACGCGAGCAGATAGGGGCGAGCAGTCTTAAACTGACTACTGTTGTTGTTGCTGCTGCTGCTGCTATTGTTGTTGTGGTTGTCGTTGTTGGTTACTGTTGTTGTTGTTGTTGTTGGTTCTTGCTGTTGGTGTGGTTGCTGGTTGTTGTTGTTGTCGTCATTGTTGCTGTTGTACTTGTTGCGGTTGCTCTTGTTGTTGTTGTTCTTGTTGTTGTTGTTGTTATCGTTGTTGTTGTTGTTGTTGTTGTTAATGATGTTGTTGTTGTTGTTGTTGCTGCTGCTGCTGCTGTTGTTGTTGTTGTTGTTGTTGTTGCTGCTGCTGCTGCTGTTGTTGTTGTTAATGATGATGCTGTTGTTGTTGTGGTTGTTGTTGTTGTTGTTGTTGCTGCTGCTGCTGCTGCTGTTGTTGTTGTTGTTGTTGTTGTTGTTGTTGTTGTTGTTGTTGTTGTTGTTGTTGAATGATCATGTGTAAATAATATTTGTTGTTGATCCCCTTGCGCGTTAACTTTTGTCTTTTTGAATCAAAGTGCTTCTCCCATGGCTCGCACCTTGACTTTTACCCGGGAAAGCCAGGTGTCACCAAACTGCGCTCCTTGCCCGCCGTTTACAACAACAACGGATCCCGCCTGATACTTCCTCGCGAGTTATTGCCAAATCGCGATCTTGCGCGGGACTTCCTCACAATTCATGCAGAAATCGTCGTAGCCATTTTGGCTCAAGTGGGAGTCGAGTTGTGTGGGGCCAGCGGTCGCCATGTGGTCTTCGCCAGCAAAGCCTGGCGCCGGGTTCGGCGGAACCGCTGCGTCGACAACGGGCAGCGGCAGCGGCTGCGCCTCTCCCCTGGACCGGTCGCAGGAGCGCTTCGAGACCCCTACGCTCTGCCGTGATGGCGAGCTGCAGCGGCGCTTGTCTGCGACCCCGCAGTGGCAGCCCCGGCGACTCGTCCGCGTCGGGATGGCGGAGGAGGGCGCAGCCGCTCCCGAGAAGCCCGCGCCTACGCAGCTGCACGCGGGCAGCCGCAGGGTCGCCGGGCTGCCCAGCGAGGTTCTGGAGGACTGGCGGTGCATCAACGCGCAGTTCCAGGAGGCCCTGAGGCGCAGCGCCGCTCCGAGCACGAGGCCAGCTCTCGGCGAGGCGGCCCCCGGCGGCGCCAGCGCCCGGGGCGCCGCCGCGCGCGGGGCGGCGCCCGGCGGCCGCGGCGCGCGGGGGGAGATCGAAGTGGGCGGCCGCAGCTTCTTGTTGGACGAGGCCATCGGCCAGGGTGCGTTCGGGGTCGTGTACCGGGCCCACGAGAGGTGCGGGGCCGGAGACCGCGCGGTGGCCGTGAAGCGCGTCGCGGCGGGCGACCGCGGCGCCTCCGCCGCGGCGTGCCTCGAGGCGCAGCTCCTGGAGTCCCTGTCCGCGCGGCTGCCGCACGCTTCGCGCCGGCGGATCCCCGGCTACGTCGCGCACGGCCCAGACGCGGACAGCGGCGAGCCAGCCGTCTACATAGCAATGGCGCTGGTGCCTGGTCAGGTTCTGGATCGATGGCTGTATGGTATTGCCGACGAGCAGCACAAGCACCTCGAGGTGGCGCAGCTGGCGGGCGGCCGCTTGCCGGACGGCCGGCAGCGCAGCCTGAGGCTGGCGGGCGCCGTCGCCGTGGCCTCGGCGCTGGTCTCGCAGCTTGCAGAGGTCTTCAAGGAGCTGGAGCCCATGGCATTCCACCGCGATGTGTCGTCTCACAACATCATGATCGACACTGATCGATTCGACGGCGGTGATAGGCCGAGGTTCACTTTGATCGACTTTGGCCTTGCGGTTCGGTCTGACACGTGGGCGGCGGAGTCTAGAGTTTCCAACCTGGCTGGGGACCCCCGCTACTGGCCGCCCGCCGCCTGGATGGCCTTCGCCTACGGCTTCGGGTACCTGGACATGCAGGGGAGCGGTGGCTTCTGCCGGCAGTACGCGGAGCGCATCGACCACTACAGCTTCGGGATCCTGGGCCTGGAGCTCCTGTTCGGGCTCTGGGACACCGAGTCCGCCACCGACGGCGCCGTGCCGCTGGCGATGAGAAGGGCTCGGTCTGCCTGGCAGCTGCTCTGGGTCGAGGTCCTGACGCTGTTCCAGACGTTTCACGTGCAGGGACCGCAAGCGACGCGGCAGCGCATCGGGCTCACGAGCGACGAGGGCATCGTCCGCCTCACGGGGCTGCTCGCTGGCCTCCGGGGCGAGCTGCGCGCGGTGGCGGCGGCGGCGGTTGCCGGCACTGGCGAGGATCGGGAGCTGGCGTGGCTCTGCCTGACGCTTGCCGACCTGGTGGACGAGAACGGCAGCCTCTCCTGGGCGGACGTCGTGGCAGGCTCTTGCACGCCCCATTGCGCCGCGGCGCTCGCCGCAAGCTCGCCGCCTCTGGCGCCGCGGGCGCCGTCGGGTGGCGCGACGGCCGGCCCCCAGACGCCGCCAGCACGGTGGCGCGCCGCTGTGACCGCAGTGCCGCTGCGTGCGCTCGGATCGCCATCGTCGCCAGGACTGCTGGTGGCTCAGACACCGCCGGCACCGTGTCAATCCGCTGTGACTGCAGCGCCGCTGCGGGCCCTCGGGTCGCCATCGTCGCCAGGACTGCTGGTGGCTCAGACGCCGCCGGCACCGTGTCCTTCCGCTGTGACCGCAGCGCCGCTGCGGGCCCTCGGGTCGCCATCGTCGCCAGGACTGCTGGTGGCTCAGACGCCGCCGGCACCCAGTCCATCCGCTGTGACCGCAGTGCCGCTGCGGGCGCTTGGGTCGCCGCCGGCGCCGCCTTGGCTGCGGGCGGCTCCGGTTGCTCAGCAGCGGGCGCTGCCACCACGCCTTGCAAGGCAGCCCTCGGCAGAGTTGCCCGCGGCGGCGCCGCAGCGCGTGCTGGTGCTGCAGGGCGGCCCGCCCGCGCGTGGCGCGGCGGGCCCGCCGCCCCCGCGGGGCGCGGCGGGGCGGCCCCCGCCGGGCGCGGTGGCCGCGCGCGGCGCGGTGCTCGTCCCGAGGCCTCTGCCCAGCAGGTCGCACTGAGGCCCGCGGCCTCCACCCCCCCTCGAGAGCGTCCGCGGCACTCGCCCGCGCCCCACGCCTCGGCCCGCCGCTTCGGCGGGGGGCCTCCTCGACACGCGCCCGCGCGGTACCCCGACGGCCAAGCGCGCCCGCGCGGCCCCCCGGTGGCAGACGGCCCGGGGGGCCGAGGCCCTCGGCCCAGGCAGACGACCTGGGCGGCCATCCCGAGAGCCCCGCTGGACGAGCTGCCGGGGAGAGCGGAAGGACGAGCAGGAGGGGGGAAGGGAGAGGCAGAGAGGAGACGGCAATCATAGGGGAACAACAAGTGGCACGAACATAAAAACTCGGAGGTCCGCGCGGATTTCTCGGATTTCTCGGATCGCGCGCCAGGGAGGGGGGTCCAGCGCCGATCCGAGAAATCCGCGCGGACCTCCGAGTTTTTATGCTTCTGTCACTTGTTGTTCCCCTAAATCAGGCGATCGCAGACATGGAGCAAGGGGGCGTGGCTCAGCGACGGGTCCCGTTTCTGTGGGACATCGCGGATTTCCGCCGCCGAACGGGGCTGTACCGGCCGCATTTTGGGGAGGGCACCTCCCCCGATCCGTGGATTTGGCGACCGCGCGGTAAATCCATGGATCGCTAATCCATGTTTGCGCGCCCCCGAGGCAAGGCGTCGACGAGCAGGAGGCTTCATCAAGAAGCGTTGAGCCACCTTGCGGGACCGCGCGTATGGCAGCCGTTGGCGTGCGTTGCCGAACAGAAATTATTCACTGCGTGGAGGTCCCCGTATGTGCATCTATTAGCATGGACCTGTCCGCCGTTAGTGCCTAGGCGCAAGAGTTTGTGAATCTACACGGGCTTGAGTGTTGACGGTCTGCAAGTGAATCTGACTGTGGATGAGTTGGAGTGTGACTGAGTCTCAGTAGTATTAGTGCGTCTCTGCGCATGAGCCTGGGACCATCTGGGACCTCTCGACACCTTCTGGGGCTTCCTGGGGCCTCCTGGAGCCTCTTGAGGCCTCCTGGGGCCTCTTGGGGCTTCCTGTGGCCTCCTGAGGCCTCCTGGGGCCTCGTGTGGCTTCCTGGGGCCTCCAGTAGCCTCCTGGAGCCTCCTGGGGCCTCCTGGGGAGGATTCGTGCCCCAGGAGAGGGGCCTAATTGGAGCATACGTAGCATCCTTCGGATTGAAGCTACAGGAGAGGGGAAATCAAGATGAGCGGAGCCACTCCCGTGACCTTTTGAGGCCTCCTGCTCCTGGGGCCTCGTGGGGGCTCCCTGGGCCTTCCTGGGCCTCCTGGTGCCTCCTGGTGTCTCCTGGCGCTTCCTGTGGCCTCCTGTGGCCTCCTGTGGCCTCCTTCCAGGGGCAACCTTGTGCTTCCTGGGGCCTCCTGGAGCCTCTTGGGGCCTTCTGTGGCTTCTTGTGGTCTCCTGATGCCTCCTGGGACCTCCTGTGGTCTCCTGGGGCCGCCTGGAGCCTGGTGAAGTCTCCTCCTGTGGCATCCTGAGGAGGATCCATGCCCACGAGTCTGGCCAGCAAATAGGCGAACCGCTCGAGACATCCTCAAGATTTGGCCCCCCCTGGGGTGCGAGAATCAGCGTCTCGCTCGAGACATCCTCAGATTCTGCTCCGAAAGCGGAGGATGTTGCGCTTCAGAACAGGCACCCCGCTCGAGAGATCCCCGCCATTTTGGCGCGAACGGAGGAGTGCAATATCCCCTGGCGGCTCCCCTTTGAGGCTGCAGCAACCCTTGCCTCGCTCGAGACATCCTCAGAATTAGCTCCGCCATCATCCTCATTCCCATCCCCATCCCCATCCCCATCATCATCATCATCATCATCATCATCATCATCATCATCATCATCATCATCATCATCATCATCATCATCATCATCATCATCGTCCTCATCCTCATCCTCCTCCTCATCCTCAACCTCATCCTCATCCTCATCCTCATCCTCATCCTCATCCTCCTCCTCCTCCTCATCATCGTCATCATCATCATCACCATCATCGCCATCATCATCACCGTCATCATAACATCATAACAACATATGTCACAGCATCAAACACCTTATCATAACACAGCATACTACACCATACCAATGCCCAGTATACCATATCACAACATACCGTACCGTAACATAACATAACATAGCAAACCATGCCATACCAAACCATATCATACTACACCATACCAGAACATGCCATAGCATAACATAACATAACACATTACTGCGACTCTGGGTGAGGAAGAGGGGGAGGAGGAGGAGGAGAAGGGGAGAAGGTGTGAGCCTCGGCGCGGTCGGAGTAAGAACAAGAACCCCATCCTTTGGATATGGGGAAAACGCACCAACTTATGCAGAACTCGCGCTCTCGCGTGGAGCTTCCTCGCAATTTGTTCAGACGCCGCACCCTCGACACTCAAGAATCACGCTCTCGCTGTGGATTTCCTCACGATGTATTTGGGAATCGCGCTGTCGCTCGAGATTTTCTCGCGATTCATGCAGGACGCACGCTTCAGCAACCCGCCTGCTCGACTTGGTCGCCTGGGCCCGCCTTCCCGACCTGCCCGCTATGGGTCTGCCCACCCGGTCTGCCCGTCAGGTTTTGCACGTGTTTTCTGTTCCTAGCCCCCCTC